ATAGAAAATAGTGTCACTAGCGCCCCCTTCATTTCCGGAATGCAATAGTCCCATTTCCATATAAGGTATGGGACTGACGGAAAGGTCTGTCACCGCCCCGAGCTGCATGCTGCAGCGAAGTGTACTTGCCGGGCGACATTTGATCCACACTCCTTACCCGTGGGTGGCGGTAATGTACCAGTTGTTTAAGAAGAAGAAGAAAAAGAAGAAGAAGAAGAAGAAGAAGAAGAAGACTGATTTTTGCAGAGTATTTTTACTGAAGTATCAGGTAATGTCATGTGAGGACATGGCAGCTGAGGTAGGCAGGAAGCCCCAGTTTTATATGTGTAGCTGTTTTACAACTAATAATATTTTCYTGGACGATTACAAGCTGCATGTTCGCTTTGTTTCTGAACACCAGTTCAGGCTGGACTATCAGACAGTGAGTAACTAATTAACTTTTCAACACACTTTTATCAGTTTGCATTTAACGGGTCTTGTGACAGATTGTTTTTGTGCCTGATTATGTTTTTACTGACACACAGCAGCTGACGAGGCTCGGCTGCGTCACTGACCAGCAGTATGAGGAAGTGCTTGACAAGGTAAATAAATGTGAGCCTGCTACATKTACTGATAATTTAAAAAGAACTCTTCATTCTCAGTACCAAATCTAATACCAGGAAGCATATTTCATATATATTTTTAACACACTATCTGACATTATGTGCATGCTGTTGTTAAAGTTTTATGTTGATGCAACATTACAACATGTMCTCAGGCTTGTTTTGACTCAGTGTGTCACATCTCTGTTTAGATTCACAAGGAAGTGGACAGACGGCGGCAGCTGTGTGTTGTGTCTGCTGATCGAGCTGCTGTGATACAACGCACATACCGGCCTCTCCATCCTCATGTCTACCACCTGCAGGTACTTGGTGCTGCAGCTCCTACAGGTAACCTACTGATGATGTGTCATTAACAACAGGATGAGAGTCCTCCTGCACCCTCTCTTGCTACAGGAGGCTTTTCTCACTCCACAACTCAAGCAGATTGTGGAGTACTGTCGAAGCAGCAGTGCTGACAAAGAAGGTCTCATGGAACTGCTGGAAGAAGAGCCAGGTGAGCCGGAGACTGTTGGTCGTCCTTATAAGAGACATGAGGACAAGTGTGACTCTTATTAGTAAAAAAACTGTTTAAAGTCCTGTATTTAATTTAATTCTTGTTGCTATAAAACCTAATTAATTCTCAGTTGAAGCATTAACGATTTTTTTAGTTCTACATATTTTTGCATTTATTCTTGCTTTTTTAAAATAAATTCCAAGAAAGTGTAATGTGACTTGTTTAGCAGTGTGTTGATGCAGTGATATTCAGACCTTCTTCACTCTTCATGGTTTTATGTTACAGAATGTTGGCTTTTTTTCTCTAATACGTCTACAGATTTCCAAGATGATGAAACTACAACACAATTTTAGACTTTCGTATTGAAAACACGTAAGGGCTTGGTTTATTTTATGAAGGCTATTTCGACTTTCATCTCGAAGCAACGCTGTTGCACGGTGATGCACACGTGTNTAGCCATGGTTTCAAAACCACTAAAATGTTCTGTCATGCCGTGCCTATGGTATAAGCATTGTTTGTTTATTTTTCCTCTGGTCTATGTCAATGCAGACATGCTCCCTGCAGACTGCTGTCAGCACTCGCAGCTCTGCAGGGGTTTGTGTGTTGTGGCTGAAGAACAGAGTTCCCCAAACTTTTCCTTGTCAAAAACATTAAATCCAGCTATATGAAAATACTCAGGATGCCGTAAAGACGACAGCAATGTGGACCGTGGAAAAAWCACATCTAACAYGATCACMGCTCCAGGTAAAGTTTCTGCTATCTTGAAATGAACGAGCTAACGTTAGCATGAGATTGTGAAACATCACCGTGCTGCTGTGGTTTTAATGCACTGATCACAAGTTGTCTGAAGAACTGTTTGAGTTGTTGGATAGTGTATTTAATAAGTTTTAAGTGAAAGSCGATAAAACTGAATGCCTCCTTTAGCCGAACAGCTCGTTAGCTGAACGTGTGTTTCATAAACACACGTTCATAGTTGTGATTTCATGTTTCCGTGTGCATTTAATTATATAACCTGTACGTCAAAAACCACTTTGTCATTTAAAACAAAATAAAAACTCCCAACATGAGACATTACTTCAATATAAAGACTTGTCGTGCAGTATACACTGATTTGTCTTAACTAATAAAGCAACAGAAAAGCAGTTATCCTATTAGATGTAAACTTTATCAGGATAATCTAACTGCATTAGGTGCTAAAAATCATAAGTATAAATGCACACAGGTAAATAAAATTTCAGCATAACACCTCAGAGATCTAAAAACAGCTTCCAAAGATAATTAAAGTTGAATATGATGATAGAAAAGTTATTTTCTTTTTTTGTTTTTAAATGCAAATTTCAAAACAAAATTTTTAGAGCTGTAATAATAATACAGTCATACCGCGAAACCGTGATATTTTGGCCCAAGGTTATCATACTGTCATAATTTCATACCGTCCCATGACTAATCATAACAAAAAAGAAAACTGGTTTTCAGTACTGGTATACTGCTGAGCTCTACTGATCACAATCGGTGGTCCTGTTTTACCTGTATATGCACTTAGAAATACATCTTGCCACTGAAAGGGGATCCGTCTTCTGCACTGGAAAGGCTTCTGGCCATTTACTGAAGTAATCGAGGATAAGTGTAACACTTTTGTTGCCTTGCTGGGTCTCCGGGAACGGCCCTGATGCAGACGGGAGAAGGACCAAACACATCAYCACAAACCGTTCTGCAGAAATGGTTAAACATCACAGAGAAAGGGAACAATGAAAACCTAGAAGATCAACGGCAATGATGTCCCACGGTGCGTCCACTTTAATGGGCCGAACAGTCCTGGCCAGATTCTTTTTTCTTTCTGTATGCTGGCATGTCTCACACACTTTGATCTGAAACAGTCACAAAGCTCGGTTACTATGATATAATGTGACAGTGATGCGAAAACAACAGCAGCCAAGTGAAGACATGTGTACCCAGTCCACCACATCCTTGATGATCCCCAGCCAGTAGTACTTGTTCTGGATCCTGTGGACAGTCTTCTTCTGTCCCAGGTGATGACCGATGTCGTTGAAGTGGCAGTCCAGGAAAATCTGCCGTTTCCTCTCAACTTCAATCACCACCTCCCTCTTCTCATCTTTTTTGGGTCCCACATAATACAGCTTGCCCTCTGCAACACATAAATGAAAGGTCTAGTATGCACATCACCTGCTGCCAGTTTTCTATGTATGATCATTTTATGTTGAGAAATGATGGAGCTGCAGCTGTTTGGGTCAAACTTTAAAATAAACATTAAGCACATCTAAAACAGTATGGCAAGATGTCACACAAAATGTTTGCTTCACTGAGTTATAGCCATTTTAGTGTATGTTGGCTACTACAATGGGCCTCATGCAAGAACATGTCCGTATTCTTATCCTAAATTTCTCTTACTATTGTTCGTACGAACTACGTCAGATTCAACAAACTCTTCTATCTTCAGGAAAAGTGTGTAATTGAGCAGCGTAAACTGATGAATCAGCTGCTCGTGCACGGGGAGAGGAGATTAGCATAATCTACCACCCTAAAAACACCATATAAGGCTACAATTCCTGCTCTCTACATACCAGGAAGTGTTCATTCATAAATGACATCACAAAGTAAAAGAGAAGAACTTTACGAGTTCAGAGATTGAAGTCCTGCTCTCAGAGATCCAGAAAAAAAAATCTGTCATTTTTAGCAGCGTCAGCTGTGGAATTAAAGGAGCTTCTAAAGCTGAGGAATGAAATGTGCTGTTAATGTTGTGTCTCCTGTTAATGTCTGGTCGTAGCTATAAGTCACAGAAATCTAAATCTAAATCACCTCTCCCTAGTCCTGCTCCGGACCTATTTTATATCGTTAATCTACATTATTACATTTAAAATTACAATTCCACTTCAAACAGAATAGCCTATTGTCAACATAATTATGGAGTATGATTTATTTTCAACTCAAATTATCTTCAAACTAACGAAATATAAAGTTATT